ATATTTAATTTATACTCTCTTTAACCTTAATCCAATGTCAATAAAAAAAGTGCAGAGAAATTTCAAAGAAAATGTAGTAAATAATATAATCCCCACTTTTTATTTGATTATTGATAGGCAATGTTGAAAAAAAAAAACCTGATACTTTGCAGCTATATCAAAAACAAGCAGATCATGGATGAGCGGTTATAGCTGTTGGGAAAATGTTTATAAATGAGGGCCATATTCTTTGAACAACAACTGTTAATCACAAGAATATAATATTAATACTTTACACAACTTGCAAAACCACAGCCAAATATGTATGAATTTATATATCATGATTAAGATGTTTTGAGGCAACAAAGAGCATAGCTGATTGTGTTTTTGGGTAAGAATGCCTTTATGGGGAATAATCTACTGATAGACAAATATGGTCCTTCTGGCAGACATTATTTATGTTTTGAAGTAATAATAATAAATTGTGAGCATTAAACGTATCTAAAAATATTGATACAAACTGAGAATCCCTTGCAGAGTTAAAGTCTTAAGGAAAAATGATAAACGACTTACCCAGTGACGTCATTGTAAGGGTTTACTTCTTTATGGCAAAATATAACATAGGATAACATCAAGAGAAATGTATTACTGGATGTCCTTCTTTCTATTCCCAAAACTACTTCTTTATTCACTAATTCCGTGTGTGTGTATAGTGAACTGTTTTTTTTTCTCTGTTGATTATTCAGATATCATATAAGTCGGTGGTTATTGATTGTTAATTTCCCTTGAAATAATGTTTTTTACACGGAATGAAGAATGAAAAAATTGTAGCAGTGTCACTAGAACACCCTTGCGGGAAATGTATTCCCATCAGTTGACGAACTAATTCTTTGTTATATGTCAATTACTGAGTCATGTAAGGCATGAGTTTGTAGGCTTATATTATTTGAAGGAGTATTTGAGTAATGTAATACTTATTTGAAGAAGAATTTGTAACATCGATTTTGATATCCGATAACCAATTGTAATGATCAAAGTGAGAATGAGGAGATTAAACTTGAATCCTTGAAAAGTGTGCGTCCAAAAATTTATGTGTTCTAGTTTGTTATACATATATTTTTCACTGATGGTAGCTTTTACGAAAAGTCATTATAGTCATTTATAAAACCGTCTCAACAGATTGTTTGAGCAGCAATGTAACGCCATGAATATACCTAATTGATTAAGTAACCATGAAAACGTTCCAACTCCAAATCGTTTTTGCAGTATGAATTAATTATAATATGTGACGAACTACGGAAAAGCGAACAGTATAAAAATAGGAATGTAGATGCAATTAAGCATGGGATATTGACTGATATTGATCCCCTTAACATTTCTCTCATAATCTAATACTATTCAAACATACTTTTTCATTTCCCTATTCGACAAAAAATTACTTTTGAGCGAATGTGATTTGATACATTTTGGGGTTAGGATTTGGACTTGTACACTATTCAAGGTCTTTTTGCCCACATGGAGTGTTTATTATTTAGTGTGCCATTTAGAGATTGAGCCGATTCATGCCTTATTTCCTAGAGGAGGGACACTAATTATAGAGAGGGCATAGAGTTTTCATGATCTCAACTGTATGAATGAATAAGAGTGAAATGGTGTCAGATACTTAGATAATGTTGCATGATTAATATTCGGGGAGAAAAGTAATTTTACATTTCGCGGCAGGTAAAGCTCAAGAAGCATGAGTTAGCAACAGTGGATTTTCATGAAGAGAAAAAAAAGAAGAAACTCCTTACACCATTGGGTTGAGTATTAAAATCTTGCTTCACATCTGCCCGGGTAGCTCAGTCGGTAAAGTTAGCTCACAGGAGTTATTTTCAAAATTTCCATTTCTAACACATGTATGGACCTATTTGCTCAAAATGTTATCATTATTCTCTGATCACATATCGAAATAAGGTCGTCTTTTCCGTGTGCAAAAATATTATCTCGTAAAGGGTCCTCAGGGTGTAGATAGCATTATGTCTGGGTATGTTTATTTCCTGTTGTCATGGATAGAGAAATGTCAGCATCCTTAATATTAGTATTTTATTAGCAATAATTGTTTGATGACATAAATGGGAAGAATGTCATTACAAAATGTTTTTAAAAATCACCGGCAAGTAAATAGTCAACTCTCTTGTGGTTGTATGGGCGTACCTTGTTTTCAATACACCCAAGGATGAATATTACATTTTACTTCAGTATTTAAGGATAAAAAATATGCCCCGGGTGAGGCTCGAACTCACGGCCTTCAGATTATGAGACTGACGCGCTGCTACTGCGCTACCGAGGCTTATGATAATACGAAAGGCTCTGTTTATATAGATTCTAGTATCCATTTTTCTTTTTTTTTTGCAAATTCTGTTTGTGGAGAACACTATTATTATATTTGATACTATACAACTTATTGTATGGATGGATTTGAATCAGACCTGCCAGCATCCATCCATACAACATATATTCGTAAATGCAGGTTTGAACATAACTTTTTTCTAATTTAATCTAATAAATGTTCATAACCAACAAACATTTATGAGGCAGACACTCTAAAATTACATGCAGATTGTAGAAGCAAATATTGTTTTAAATATCCAAAATACAGATATACTCACTTTACTTTGTTTATTCCAAATATGTGAACAGAATCATTGTAATAAAATATTTAATCCTTCACATCGGCCGCGTGGCCTAATGGATAAGGCATCAGAGCTTCGGATCTGAGGATTGCAGGTTCGAGTCCTGTCGCGGTCGTTTATTTTATTCTTTTATCTAGTATTTGAATAATTAACACGTGGAAAAATACACACATGTTTCCAAGACAGGAGGGACTTTTAACTATATTTCAATCCATACATATACTACAAAACTCTATTTTTCTTATTCAAAAAAGGTCAAAACTATTTTAAACATTAATTTGTTTACATTTGTTTAAGATCGTGTTAAAGTGCCTTCTTGGCATACCAATAATTGACTTGTTTACCTTTAACTACAAATTCTCTCCACCATGCAAATCCAAACTGACTACAGACTCAATTACTGGTACTCATTTAAAACCTTTGAACCATATAAATGTTTAGCCAATGAATAACAATATTTGGAGACAGATATTACCCTACATGATAAACAAGTATTTGGGGAAATTTGAGTTCCATTCAATGTACGTCTCAAAAGGACTGCATCATTGTCTGGTATGAGTATTAACTGAGAAGTAAATTATGTGGTTTGATATTAGATGAATTATATTTTACACAAACAATCTATTACCAACTCGGCCGCGTGGCCTAATGGATAAGGCATCAGACTTCGGATCTGAGGATTGCAGGTTCGAGTCCTGTCGCGGTCGATCTTTTATTATTTCTTTCTTTTCACATAAGTTTTTTTTGAATATTCAAATATGAACCAATAATAATAACTGATACTATTGTTGTTCTGTAACTTTTGTTGATGTAGGAAAATTATGACCACTATTGGCTATCAGTATCTCAAATGACATATATTAAGCAGATGTAAATAGAGATGAAACAATCTTTTTATTCACAGTTCTAAAACACCTACAATTAATGAGATATTCATTAAACTGAGATAAACACGTACAAAATATACAAATCCATATTATAGTTTAAATTTGATTACCTCAACAACGAACATTCAAATTAAAATGACTGATAATAAAAAATATTGTTTTTCAAAAGCGTTCTCAGAAAAATCTGGCATAGTTGATGGGTTAAGATACATTTTAAGCAAACTTCAAGTTTTAAACGTGGTCTAAATCTTTTAATCTTTTTGCCTCCATCAAATGCATTGGTCGCGTGGCCTAATGGATAAGGCATCAGACTTCGGATCTGAGAATTGCAGGTTCGAGTTCTGTCGCGGTCGAACTTTCTACCTACGGGTTTTTCAGTTCACAGATGAAAAATATTCGAGTTTGATTATACACTTGACCCTCCTTTACTCGGAGATAAATTCTGTAGTCGATAGCGCGTTTGACTTTTCTTAAGCCCTTATAATGAAGGGTTGGAAACTTGGAGTATAAAAGTTTTACTTTAGTAAAAATAAATCTCATTCTCAATTTATTTATTTTCATTTCTTCACCTCGGCAACGTGTTCCTATAGCTTTTCATACTAAAGTATCCTTTAGTCCTTGCAAATTACGGAAAAGGAGCTCAAGAAAGTAGAAAACGCATTAGTGCATCAAGTCTGAGCTCTTCGGGCGTAATAAAAAGTCTGCCCAGAGTGGGCCAACTACTACCCCTCTGTTCTAGACGTCCCCCAAGTCGATGATTATTTAAGTTTAAATTTTCTGTGATCCTATGAATGGAGAGAAACCGTTTATTTTAGGATACTCTACTTTAGGAATTCGTGTTTCCCCTGTGAAGTTTCCGGAGCTTCAAGAGCTATGCCCTGAACTTGAGCTCGGGGAGAATCAGGACAATTACGGTCAGGAGAATTTTGTGAATTTGTGATAGTTGGAGAGCGAGATGACACACTGTTATTTCTGCCCATGCTCTGAATGTCAAAGTGAATAAATTCAACCATCGCGCGAGTAACTATGACTCTCCCACTCAATCGGGTTGCTCTCCGCAGGTTAGATTCCCAGACGATAATAACACTAATCATCACAACTTAAGCACTGGCCCAACTCCCTCCCGGCAGTTTGACACCAACTTTGGTTCGGGTATCCTCCGGGGGACCACCCTTTCGGGAGTCGTATTTAATATGGAATGGATATGATCCGCTCCCAAACCAAGTAATCCATGCCATTCAATTAGGCGCTCAGTCATTAGGCTGAAGTTATCGTAGGCAATGACTAAGTTGCTCCTGTCATCCACTCATGATGCCTGGCTTCCACCCTCGCCTTCGTTCCAGGAGGCCCTAGGGATTACTGAATGAGAATAAACCTCCGACAAACCAGTACTTCATGTATGAGTCTTCCGTGGAGGCTTTATAACCATTAATTTGAAGGACCATCTTAATTACAGGGGCTGAGCCTACCCCTGCACCCCCATGGATGAATCCTGTTCGCTATCTTGGGGGTCGAATTACTCCCTATTGTCATCTGGTGCGTTTCCACTCTGGCCACGCTCAACGTACATTGACCGTTAGATTAATGCTCCCCTTGGAGCAGACACCACAAGTTCCTTGCGCTGAAGGACTTTGCTCTAACAAATTTCAATTCAGCGTATCAGGAGCCTCGTAAATATAAGGAATTAAGGAAGGCGATTCCCTCATTGTGACACTATTAGAAAGTGGAGCGGTATTTTTTACTACGCCAGGACCCGTGATGGTGGTCTTGGCTTAGTGGAGTATGAAAGATCTGCGAGGGTCTGGTTCACAACAGGGTCGACAAATGAAGAATCCTTGACCCAGTGATAAAAGAGATCCTAAAGCTTTATTCAAAGGACTTCGAGGCCAAGATCGTCTCGGAGCGCATCTCTACTCACTATAGGACATATCCTCCTAAGTAAAAGAATACAGCTGGCTTGGCCAATGCACGCCATGGCCTACAACAATCTTTCGTGTTTGAGTGAAATTATGTTTTCATTAAGGATTGGGAGTTTTACCACCACTGCTCCTCCACAGTGATCTCTTCCTCTGTCTCTAACCCGCGTCCAAGCTTCATCGGTATAAACAGAGGCCTAACAACCGATGTGAGCATTGGCGGGGAAGTAGCCAACCTTTCTCACTTCTTCAGGGTTGCCCCAAGACCCAGGGATTGCGAATCCACCGACAT